AATGGAGATGGTGCTGGGGAGAAAGCAATAACACTGAACAGACAGAATGTTTTAGCTTTGTTCAAACCCTGTTATTTCTCTCTTCCTTTCTTTAGCTATAGGAGGTTTATCAAATTCATTCTTTTCTTTCTTTATTTTTCTTTTGTAGAGGGTAGTGATGTGTTAGAACCTAGGGCCCTCACAATGTTAGGGAAATGCTCTATCCTTGAGCTACACCCACAATAATAAATTTTTATTTGTACAGATGTATGTCTTTCTCCAATCTACCAGTATTAAGACTAGAGAACTTTTAATTCATGTCTTATATCTTTCAACTCAGCTTGCTATCAATAAAGTATAGATGACAGTCATCTTTGAGGGTAAGTGCAGTCTATACCATGATTCCCTCAAGAAAACAAAGCCAAGAGACATTTTAAATAAATCTCCTGTGATGATGTTGGGTTCTGGCAAGTCTGCAGCCAGTAGGCTGGAGATTCAGGTGGGTGCTGGAGCTATGCCCTGGAGACACACTTTCCTTTGCAAATGTTAGGCGTTGTTTATTGGGCCTTTGAATAGTTGGGTGGGGCTATTTGTATTATGAATCGTAATGTACTTTAACAAATATCAACTGATTTTAGATAGCTATATGCACACTATAGCACTGTGTGATATATTGTGCCCAAGTTGATACCTAAAATGGTCACCCAGCCAGCAAACTAAGATCCTGTATGTATGGATCAAATTTGCTGAGTGTTTACACAGATTATTTTGTTTATTGCTGATGAAAACCACATGAAGAGACCTTATTATAATCTTAGAAAGAATGATGAGGACATCATCCCACCATTGACTTGAAACTGGGATTCAGCCTCTGTCGGACAACCATAGTTCTATCCTTAAAGTCTTCAAATTCAGATTAGTAGGAGGAAATTTTTTCATTACTGTCTGAAACCCCACAGCCGTGTGCTGCCGTGCTGGTGGCATGCTGATGGTCATGCTTCCCAGTATTGTTTACAATCATAATAACCATACTCAGAGAAGCAAGTCATACTCAGTGCAGAGAGTTGAAGAAAGGGACCACTGAAGTCCAAAAGTCTTCCCTCTTCTGTAATTTGGCCTGATTTAGGCTTTCTTATTTTCTTTCTGAGAAACTGAGTTACAGCTCGTTACCTTTGTAGCAGGAACCAGTACAGTGCTCATTTTGCAGTGATATTGAGATGTGACCACAAAGCATAAAGTCTTTCTAGCTTAGGGCTTGCTTGTTTGACTCCATGCACATTTCAGCCAGTGGTCTATTGTATTATAGCATCTCTACTCAGTTCTGAAACATGGTGGACCCACTCGTGGCAGAAGAAGAACATAGCAAACTGGGGGTGGGTTCGTAATGATCTGCCTAGAGTGACATGCCATTCTTAAACACATTTCATTTACCAAGGAGACTCAATCGCATGCATCCTGGAAGTTTAAGGAACTAGGAAAGTGTGACCTTACTGAATGTCTAAAAAAAGCAAAATTGGGAAAATTAACGAACATCACTAGTTAAAACAAAATGTACTTTTATAAGGTTATGACATATTGGTGTTTTTGTAGGTAAACAGTAATTTTAAGAAAATATGAATTTCTATTTTGCCATTTTTGTTTGTTATCTAATATTTTTAAGACCATAGTTTTTTCATAAATTAAAAAAATCTTTAGGACTTTAATGGATTTTTCGTTTATGATTCTATGTGGTTTGAATGATGAATCTAACTTTATTTTATTTGTGTAGAGAAAATAAATTGTTTTGAGAATAGTTACAAAACACACCAATTTTGTTTGACATACAAGACCATTTCTGGAATATGTCAAGTTTTTTTATTATTATTTTGAAAGAATAGAAGGTACTTATTTTCTTTCTAATGCTCTACTTTATTTACAGTAAAAATGGAAATAAAAATGATGCATGTGGCAATATAGACCTGTGTACAAAATACTTGCTAGATTATTCTTTGTAACTTTCCAGGTATTTTCTTCAAATATAAAAAGTAATAGTTTGCAAATTGTCAATTTTTCCTTCAATTTTTTGAAAACACTCCAGAGATGACAGTTTTACTAAGTAATTTTGCTTACTAAATACTATCTATCCCCAACTATGCTTTAAAAGTGTTTAATATGACAGTATTCCAACTAAGTACATACAAATGAAAGGAGCTGAATCCTGAATCTTGGCTTTAGAAATAGGCCTGTGGTCAGGACCATAGTTCTGTTTTCTTCTTTTATAGGCTCTTATGATTTTGAAAAGTGATAACATCATGTTCTTGGTTTTAGGTAATAAGCTTTGAGAAAAACCCAAGAATTGAGATGACCTTGGAAAGGTGCTTAAACACACACCCACACACACCCACACATACCCACACACACCCACACACCCCCCCCACACACACACACCTTGCTTATTTTATTCAATCCACTATGCAGGATTTCATTTTATTTGTAAAGCACTGCTATAACTCTCAAGCTTTAATCCAATTACTTGGTCTGGTAAAGGAGGGAAGTGCTAAAGATAGAAATGCATACATACCTTTGTATTTACTGAATTTCACACAAACGGATAGCCTTTTGTGTACAACCTGACTTGAATCTAAGTTTTTGAAGTGGCTAGTCATGTCTATGTGGTCTAAAATAGGGGACAACTTGAAATCCCATTCTATATATTTCAAACAATGTGTGTAAGCTTAGGTGACTTTATCAGACACAAAATCTGGGAGAACTGGAACATTCTGTTTGACAGACATGTTCAGGGCCACAGCAGAAGGAGGATACTGAAATTCAAAATAAAACATAGGAATCTCCATAGTTTTGGTGAGATAAAGCATGGTATATGACCATATCAGCATACAATGAGTAATTTAAATTGAGCTTTCCTTACTACCAAATGCAAGAGCCCTTGTTTGCCATGACAATGGCTGGCCTACACCACATGGTCAGACTTCCTCAGGATGAAATTGGGGAAGAAGATGCTTACCATGGGAAAGGCAGAAAAAGGGTCCCTTTGGAAGAAGAGTTAGTTACCAAAGGCAGCATATTTCAGTGTATAGTTTCAGGACACTAAAGTGACAAGAGATGAAATTAGATAGTTTAACAAGAATCAGTGCATCTAATATCCTCTAGTAATTTGGTTGTTAGTCTTCAGGTGATTGCAAGCCATGGAGCTCTTTAGAGAGGGGCATAGTGCAATAAGAAAACACAGGCAGCAGTATACTGTTCACTGTGGAAAGACAGAGTGGCAAGGAGTGAGATCAGAGGTGATGACAGCTATCAGGAGGTCTTATAGCTGTTATCTACAGGAGGAATGATGTGGAAAGGGCTCAACTGCATGCTGCAGATCTCCAATCATTAGGGAAATGAAAATAGAAACTGTGCCAATGTGCACCCTACTCTAGTTAAAATGGTCAGGAACAATCCATTCTAGCAATCTGTAGCACTGCAGTGCAAGCCTAGACATAGGGACTTATTGTACATGGAGGAAAAATTAGAAAGAAGAATTCAAACCATGCCAACACAGAGACATGCTAACTTAGGAGACTGAAACAGTAACTGCACTGAAGTGTACACCTTGTATACTGGTATCAAACTACTTTTTGCAGCCTATAACTATGAAAAATAATGTCTCAGCTGAAAAAGAAATTGTATAATGCCATCTGCAGGGAAGTTGGTAGGGTTGCAGACCTGCTGTTCTGAGACAAAACATGTGGCTGCTTGATTTTTAAGGGCCAAGTATCTAAAATGATATTGTTTCTAATTTTACAATATGTTTACAATTCCTTAGTGAACTATATCTTGTTTTGAACTCCTATGCTTTGCCTTAAGCCTTATTTCTCACTTTAAGGGGAAGAAATTGCCTCAATTTAATACTAAAAAATCATGGCTTCTGTTTTTCCTATTGCCATCTAGTGGCTTGTGATCTTTACATTTTGTGGTCACTGTTGCATCTCTTCAGCTGGATTACTTGGCAGGAGTAGGCCAGTCTGTAGTAAATGACAACTGGAAACATTGCTTCTTCTTCTTCTTCTTCTTCTTCTTCTTCTTCTTCTTCTTCTTCTTCTTCTTCTTCTTCTTCTTCTTCTTCTTCTTCTTCTAATATTTCAGGGCTACATTTTTCAGAATGCATTGCACTTTGCAAGATTTTAATGATGGAAGACACTATCCAACTTTTGCAATAGCTGGACATACAATAGCTTAGGTTAGCAGGTCTAGGGGAAATTTAGTAATAATGTGATGTATCTGCAATCATATTATGCAAAGGACAGGAAAAGATGTGCATAGCTCTCAGCATGTAAACACCTCCTCAGCTACTCTGTGTGCCCGGGAGACAGCACTGTCACAATGTTCAGAAAGGCAGGACACAAAAGAAGAACTAAATGTATAATTTTTCCTGAGCATGTAACTTTCATGGGAAAAGGTATCAAAATATACTGTTTAGATCCTTCTCTGAATCCAGATTGCTGCTCATCTACGCATTTGTGACCAACAATTCAAGATTCTGGATGTCTGGAAAGAAGACTGCCTGTTACGAAATCACTGGTAAAATATTAATTGTGAAATTCTTCATGGCAGGGCACATGTTATGTTTGATATTTCCTAGGCTTGCTTTGCCATGCCAAGAAAGATAAAATTAGAATTCTTATGATACCAGTATAAGTCATTTGGATGAGCTAGCCCTAGGGAATTTTGCTGTAAACATTTATAGTCTACTAAGGGAGTGGACAACTATGGCATTGCAACAACACATATTTTAATAGCTATATCATACATGCAAAGGAGTGGGAGAGATTTCAAGAGGATCCAGTAGGAAAATAAAACCCTGTAAGGCTAACTTTCCACCAGCCGCCTGAGTTTTGCCATTAGGGCCCCAAAATAACACAGAGTCTTATCTTAGTTACAATGTTGCTGGCCAATGACCAGGATTTCTTATATGCTAGCTCAGTCTTAATTATCAACCATAACTATTAATCTATATATTTTGTAATGACTTTTCTTACCAAGGACGGCAGCAGCGTGCATCCTCTCTTGCCAGGATCACATGACGATTCCTGTCTTTACTACATTTCCCAGAATCCTCCTCGACTCCTAGCCTCACTTGTCTTGATTTCCTATTGGCCAATAGTACTTTATTTATCAACTAATAAGACAAACATCTACACAGAAGGACTTCTCCCATCATCTCCTCTTTTCTGACTAAATGAAAAGAAGGGTTTTAACATTAACACAGTAAAATATATAACAAAATAGTTATCAAGTGAGAACTATAGTTACAATATTTAGTTCATTAACATTTAGCAAGATTTAAAGAAAATATTTTATCATCTATCCTATCTTTGTGAGTCTAAAGTCTTATATGTAGCTTATCTTTTATAATAATTAAGGAAAACTATAACCATAACTATGTGTCTTCAACTCCATCAACGACCACAGAAGGATAATATATAAACTCTAGAACTGACAGGGACATGTCGCTGCCTGGATAGTCACTCAAAGTTCCCATGTAACATAGGGGCATCCATCTTCAGCCTATAGGCCACAGTGTATCTGGCAGACTTCTCCATGAAGGAGGAACCTTTCAGGACTGTCTTGTTTTGCAAGTTCAGCAGTCACTTTCCTGTGGGTCCTGCATGTCCAGTTTATCAAACAGTCCAGACAAGAGCAGTTTCTTGACCAAATGGCTAATCTTGCCATGTTGAAGGCAAACTCCATAACGACTTTCTTTGATGCCCATCTTCCTCTCAGACATAATTGGTGTGCCAGGAGCATTTGTGTCTCACTGCCATGAAAAACCCTAAACAATTTAAAATGCCATATATTTTGTAGGTCTTTGAAAGGTTTGATGAGTATCTTAAATACATTTCTATATATCTAGAAAACCTAACTAACCTAACTGTAAGTTTTGACTATTATATCTGTCTATCTACAATCTGTATTTAATTGTGCATTACATTTTAGATATCTGTAAAAACACAATACCTAAACCAGAGGAGAAATATACATATCACAAAATTGACCTTAAAGTTGTATCAACAAATAAAAATCCATACCAATGCAAAGTATTCCTTTAAATATCCTATTCCCCCTTTTTCTTTAAAAAGAGATTGACTGTGATCATTATCATTTATAACCAACCCCATTTAAATAAAAACAAACATTTATAAACACTATTTGGAAATGTGGGCGTCTTTTATTCCAAACTGCTTCCTGCTAGGGAGCAATGTCCATACCATGGGAATCATGATAAAACATGGAAACCTGGCCAGGTCCTTGTTTTTGTAGTCTGAAAGGCTGTATCATCTCAGCTGTTTTAGATGTTGGATCACCTAGGACACTATTTCAGGGTGTCTTGCTTCATCAAACCATATTAGTCTGGATGGAATCCATAGCATTTCATTTTCTGTGGAAACATAAGCAAAAACTCTTTTTCCAAGTACTCTGTCCTTATATTTAAATTTAGAAGTCAAAGCATTTTTAAAATATGTAAGTTGGATTAATTTGGCAGCACCTATAATCAAATGTATTTTAGCAGCTATAGCTCTTTCCTCAGCAATCAAACAATTTAAAGACAACACAATAGCATACAGTATCCAGACACTCTATATTTTCCATCTTTATGTGGCTTTTTCATTACTCTATTTGTTTTAGTTTTATTTTTTTCTTTTATGAGACAGGGTTTATCTGTGTAACTTTGGCTGCTCTTGAACTCACTCTGTATACCAGGCTGGCCTTGAAGTCACAGAGATCTGCTTGCCTCTGCCTCCCCAAAGCGTATGGGATTAAAGGTGTGTACCACCACACCACCTACTCTATTTCCTTCTTTCTTTCTTCCTTTCTTTCTTTCTTCCTTCCTTCCTTTCTTTCTTTC